AGTCAATATTTACAGTGTTGACCCTTGTTCTTCATAACCTCTGCAATTCGCTCTCGCATGCTGGATATTAGCTTCTGGGTTAAATCCTGACTGATGGTAATCCATTCTTGCCTTATCAGTTCTCGGAGTTGATTGTAATTTGTGGGCTTCTGCTTGTTCACTCGCCTTTTGAGGACAGACCACAGGTTCTCTATGGGATTGAGATCTGGGTAGTTGCCTGGCCACGGATCCAAAATTTCAATGTAATGAACTTCGAGCCACTTCTTTATTACTCTTGCTTTGTGACATGGTGCTCCATCATGCTGGAAAATGCACGAATCATCACCAAATTGCTCATGGATCGTTGAAAGAAGTCGCTTTTGCAGGACATTTTCATACCATTCTTTATTTATGGCAGTGTTTTTGGGCAGAATTATGAGAGAACCCACTCCCTCGGTTGAAAAGCAACTCCACACATGGATGGTCTCAAGATGCTTCACTGTTGGCTCGCACAGGACTCATGGTAGCGTTCACCTTTTCTTCTCCGAATAGCCTGTGTTTTACTCACCCTCAAGCCATCCTAGGTGTATATGACTTTCTTCTTTTTAAGACGAATCCAGTCGGAGTTATATTAAAAATTGTCCTGGCACTTCTAAGCTCTATCATTGTAGTGGGTAGGTGTTTCTCTTTAACAGTCCAAAACACGTTAAATAAAGCGCGCGCATCTGTAATAAAACGTGCCTCACATGGCTCTGGGGGTGAATGAAGGCCTCCTGTAGCGAATCCATGTGTTTTTGTTAGAATTTATATTTTAAACGTAATAAACACTTTTCTCTCACTTCTGCTGACTGTCGTATACGGAAGCGTTCCGGCTGGTGAAGTAGGACGTATGCGTCGCGCGTGCACCTCTGAGATATGCTAGTCTCACGAGTTTAAGGAAGCAAAGTTTCCTTACTTTAGCAAAGAAAAACCCGTCTTCTTTTGGCTTATATAGAAATCCTCCGACATTTCTTTACAAATCCTCATTTTGTGCTTCTAATTCATGACCGGCGTTTTGTTTTGTTCTTTCTCCGTGTTCATCACTAATCACTAGGGCTGGGTATCATTCAAAAATTTTGTACTTCCTGCAGAATTTCAGTCTGTCCTTGACGTTTTTCTTGGAGAGAAGTAGCTTCTTTGCTGCCCTT